CACTTTGGTATCAGGACTGGCAAAATTCTTATCTGCAAACCTAACCATCCTAACACCAAGCCATCAAAATAGTTCCTTTAATTTGAGTCTTTAAATCCATAGATTCAGTCTATTCCATGTAATCTGTTGTTTTGCTTATACAACCTATAACCAAACGTCACAGGTTTTCCAAACTTCCAGGATTATCCTTATCATTTATATAAAAATAAAAATAATCTGTTCCTCAGCCTATATAATTGTACAAATTCCATTTCTCCCCCTGGTATTTTCAAAAATCCCTTGGAAATGTTTACATATTCCAGAAATTCCCCTGGTTGCCATTTGCCCATTCTCAAGCTGGGTCACTCTGGACCCTTGTCCCATGTCGCCTCCTGCTCCTCATGATTGCTTCTCCATGATGGGGCAGCTTTCTCTGATTTGCTTCACACCAAAGCTTAAACTTGCTTTACTCCCAAAGAAACAACAAACAAGAGTTGTTGATGTTAATGAAAATAATTCAAATTTTTTGAACACTCACTTTTTGCCAGATTCTCTTCCAAATGCTGTATGCATATTTGTTCACTGAGTTTTCACTGACAACCCTATAGGCAGACACTATTATTATCTTCACTTTAGAGATAGGTCAATGGAAACTCTAAGAGGTTAGATAATTTATCTATGGCAACTCACACTTCAGGTAAGTAGTGGAGCTGGTATTTATATTATATTGTATTTTCATTTTTATTCACTTTGAAATATTATCGAATTTCCTTTGTGATTTCTTCTTTGATTCATGGATTATTTAGAAGTATATTATTTAATATGCAAATAGTGGTAGCTTTTCTAGATAGTTCATTGTTATTAATTTCTAATTTAATTACAGTATGATCAGAGAACATACTCTGTATGACTTCAATGCTTTTAAATTTACTAAGACATGTTTTGAGACCCAACACAGAATCTGTGTTGATGAATGTACTATATACACCTGAGAAGAATTGTTAGGTATGATGTTCTAGAAACATCAATTAAATCTGGGTGATTATAATGTTCAGATAATCTATACCTTTACTGATATTTTTTCTAGTTATTCTATCAGTTGCTGAGAGAGTTAATTAACATTTTAAAATATGACTGAGGAAATGCCCATTTCTCCCTTCACATATATTGAAGCTCTGTTATTTGCATATATACATTATGATTGCTTTATCTTCATGATGATATATTATTGTAAAGTTCCCTATTTATCACCACTAATAGTTTTTTTTTCCTTGAAGTGTATTTTATCTGATATTAATATAGCCACTCCAGTCTTCTTATGCCTACTATTTCTGTGGTAAATCTTTTTCTAGCCATTTATTTTTCCTACCTGTGTCTCTGTTTATAGTAAGTTTTCTTACCTGTGTCTCTGTTTATAGTAAGTCTCTTGTAGATAGCATGTATTTTTGGGTCTTGCTTTTTCCTTTTAATTAAAATGCTTCATCCATTAACATTTAAAATAATTATTAATATAATTGGATTTAGGTTTACATTAAATTATTTTTCGATTTGTCCCCTCTAATTTTTATTCCTCTGTTTCAACTTTCCTGCCCTCTTTTGAATTTTATCTACATTTATCTATTGGTTTTTCAGATGTACTTTGCATTCTTTAGGAGGTTGTTCTAGGGCTCTGCTGTCCAATACATGGTTGTCAGTCTCCTGGGGCTATTAAACACTTGAAGTGTGGCTAGTCCCAAATGAGCTGTGTTGTATGTATAACACACACTCTGGATTTTGAAGAGTTAGTAGGAAAACAAGTAAAATATCACATTAATAATTGCCTGGCAATTACATTTTGAAATGGTATTTTGTGTATAGTAAGTTGAATAAAATGGTTCTAGGTTGTTTCACTGTGAGTATCTCTGCCACAAACATTTTGCCACATAACTAATTGACCATAAGGCAATTTTACAGTAAAAGATAAAAGAATGAAATATAAAAGAGGCACAGTTAAAAAGACATGAATAAAAAGTTGGCCAAAGGGATTCTTCCAGCAGAACAGACAGGGCTTCCTCAAAGATACATTTCTGCTTCTACACTAGATGGTGGAAACTGCTGTTTGGAAAAAAAAAATCACTCTGCTTTGCTTACCTAGTTTTTTGTTGTCATTTTGTACTTGTCATTTTTGTCTCTCTAACATAAATTACCCCATCAATCCCAGCACAGTGCTGCCCACACACAGGAGGGCAGCTTGCTGAGCAAAAGTTTTAAAATTTTCCCCAGAGAAATCCAACAAGGGGATCCTCACCACATAAGTCAAATACATTTGAAGACTAAAATGTCAGTGGGTTGAAAATTTGTTTCACAAGGTAAGGATGCATTTGGTGTTGCCTGCAAGAAAGAATGAGTAAGGACAAATGAGCTTCATTCTTATAAACAAACTAGAGGCCCGGTGCTCGAGATTCATGCACTCGGGGCGGGGGGCGGGAGGTGTCCCTCAGCTTAGCCTGCACCCTCTCACAGTCCAGGAGCCCTCAGGGGATGTCTGCCTGCCAGCTTAGGCCTGCTCCCTGCCCGTCAGTCAGACATTCTTAGCACTGCCACAGAGGTGGGGGAGGCTCACGCCACTGCCACTATGCTCGCCAGCCGTGAGCCCAGCTTCTGGCTGAGCTGTCCTCCCGCTGTGGGAGTGCACTGACCACTAGGGGGCAGATCCTTCATTGAGCATTTTCCCCCTGGTGGTCAGTGCACATCATAGTGACCGATCATTCTGCCGTTCAGTTGATTTGCATATTACCCTTTTATTATATAGGATATAAATGTGAATTTGACAATTTGAGCTTAATGAGAAAGATAAAAGCCCTTATACCTCTATAAGGTGCATTCATAGATTTAGAATTTTAGTTTCAAAGTATAAATATAGTTTTTATTTATAATAGACTGCCAAATTATCATTTAAAAGACTGTATCAATTATATTCCTGTCAACTGTGTATAGAGAGCACCACATCAATATTTGATGTTATGAATATTTTAAAATATTTTAACCATCAAACAAAATTTGACCACAAAAAATAAAAGGGTTTCAGTTGACAATTTCCTAATAATTATTAGTTTACTTTTTAAAAATATTTATTAACTATTTGTGTTTTATCTTCTTTAAATGACCTAGTTACCTAATCATAGTTTTTGTCTGTTTTTTTAATTGATTTGTAGGAACTCTTTAAATATTGTGTCAATGGCTTTTTTTCTGGTAGAAATGTTACCGATGTTTGTTTTCTTTTTAAATATATTTTATTGATTTTTTACAGAGAGGTAGGGAGAGGGATAGAGAGTTAGAAACATCAATGAGAGAGAAACATCGATCAGCTGTCTCCTGCACACTCCCTACTGGGGATGTGCCCACAACCAAGGTACATGCCCTTGACCGGAATTGAACCTGGGACCCTTGAGTCTGCAGGCTGACACTCTATCCACTGAGCCAAACCGGTTAGGGCCCAATGTATGTTTTTCACAGTCTGTTGCTTGTCTTTTAAACAGTTGGTGTTATTTTGTAGAAATTTTCATTGTTTTTCTATATTCAGATATTTCAGTCTTTTCTTTTATGGCTTCTGAATTTTGTGTTATACTTAATAGGGCCTTCCTCACTCTAAGATTAAGGGGGGAAAACTACTTTGCCCTAGTTCATGTGTAAATTTTGTGTGTGAGAGAGAAAGAGAGAGATATTTAGATATTTAACTAATTTCAGTGAATATGTAGAGTACAAATTACTAATGCTATCATTACAAGTCCTTCCCCATTGATTTTTAAGTATTACATTTATTTATTTACATATATATTCTACATTTTATATGGATTCATGAGTTTTAGTATTTTATTGAGGAAAACTTCAGAATAGTTATAATTCACTTTTTCATGAGAGTAAATCAAGTCCTTCAAATGATGTTTAACTACTATTCCATAATTATTGTACAGCTAGATCAGAGAATATTTGGTCCTTTCTGCTATATAAAATTACTTGGCAATATGGCTATGGAGTAGTCTTATTTAATAAGATAAATAATGTCTTGATGCTGAAGTAAATTGTCAATAAAATATGCATCTAGTGCAGCGGTTCTCAACCTGTGGGTCGCGACCCCTTTGGGGGTCGAACGACCCTTTCACAGGGGTCGCCTAAGACCATCGGAAAACATATATAATTACATATTGTTTTTGTGATTAATCACTATGCTTTAATTATGTTCAATTTGTAACAATGAAATCGGGGGTCACCACAACATGAGGAACTGTATTAAAGGGTCGCTGCATTAGGAAGGTTGAGAGCCACTGATCTAGTGTAATGTAAGTCCTTAAATCTATTTTTGAGGATTAAAAAAAATTTAATTTATTAAAAAACACACACTTCATAATGTAGCAATTCAAAATTCAAAGAACAATTAAAATAAACTAACAAAGTGGAGAGAGATTCAAGGATACAGAAAACAGAGTGGTAGCTGTCAGAGGGGAGAGGGTGGGTGAGAAGGGTGAAGGTGTTAAGCAAAGAAAAAAAAGAAAGACCCATGGACACAGTCAACTGTATGGTGATTGCTAGAGGGGAGAGGGTGTGGGGGAGGTAGAAGAAGCGAAAGGGAGTATAGTGATGGAGGGAGACTTGATTGGGGGTGGTAAACACACAATATAATATACAGATGATGTATTGTAGAATTGTATACCTGAAATCTGTATAGTTTTATTAACCAACTAGAGGCCTGATGCACGAAAAGTCGTGCAAGAGTAGGTCTTCCTTCCCCCGGCAGCTGGCATTGGCTTCCCTCTGGCACCCAGGACCCGGGCTGCTTCCCTCCTCTGGCCGTCTGCAGGCACCTAGGACCTGGCTGGCTTCCCTCCGCCCCAGCTTCGTCAGGAAGGACGTCTGGAATGACATCAGGAAGATGTCCACTCTAATTAGCATGTTACCCTTTTTTTATTATAGATGTCATCCCAATAAATTAAATTAAAAAAATGAAATAAAATAATACTATTCCTTTTTTTTTCGTTTTCTAGCAAGCTCTTGACTGTGACCGTGTGTTTGCCAACATGGCCCCCAAAAAGAAGACTGTCAGAAAGAACAAAGGAGAAATCAATGAGATGACCATAATTGTGGAAGACAGCCCCCTAAGCAAACTAAATGCTTTGAATGGAATCCTAGAGGGAGGCAATGGCCTTAGTTGCATTTCTTCTGAATTAACAGATGCTTCTTATGGCCCCAACCTCCTGGAAGGTTTAAGCAAAATGCGCCAAGAGAGCTTCCTTTGTGACTTAGTCATTGGCACCAAAACCAAATCCTTTGATGTTCACAAGTCAGTGATGGCTTCATGCAGTGAGTACTTTTACAACATCCTAAAAAAAGACCCATCTACTCAAAGGGTGGATCTCAACGATATCTCACCGCTGGGCCTGGCCACTGTCATTGCATATGCCTACACCGGAAAGCTGACTCTCTCCTTGTACACAATAGGAAGCATTATTTCTGCTGCTGTTTATCTTCAGATCCACACCCTTGTAAAGATGTGCAGTGATTTTCTGATACGAGAGATGAATGTTGAGAATTGTATGTACATTGCTAACATTGCTGAGACGTACTCTCTGAAAACTGCAAAAGCAGCAGCCCAAAAATTTATCCGGGATAACTTCCTTGAATTTGCAGAGTCAGATCAGTTTATGAAACTTACATTTGAGCAAATTAACGAACTTCTTATAGATGACGACTTACAGTTGCCTTCTGAAATAGTAGCATTCCAGACTGCTATCAAGTGGTTAGAATTTGACCAAAAGAGAATGAAATATGCTGCAGATCTTTTGAGCAATATTCGCTTTGGTACCATCTCTGCACAAGACCTGGTCAATTATGTTCAGTCTGTACCAAGAATGATGCAAGATGCTGATTGTCACAAACTTCTTGTGGATGCTATGAACTACCACTTACTTCCATATCATCAAAACACATTGCAGTCGAGGCGCACGAGGATCCGCGGGGGCTGTCGCGTCCTCATCACTGTTGGGGGACGCCCAAGCCTTACTGAGAAGTCCCTTAGTAGAGACGTCTTGTATAGAGACCCTGAAAATGGATGGAGCAAGCTCACAGAGATGCCCGCCAAGAGTTTTAATCAGTGCGTGGCTGTGATGGATGGATTTCTCTATGTGGCTGGTGGTGAAGACCAGAATGATGCAAGAAATCAAGCCAAACATGCAGTCAGCAATTTCTGCAGGTACTTGATCCTTTGCTAGGAACTGAAATGGTCCAATATGATGAGGAAATTGCCCTGACATAGAAGTAAATTAGCCATGTCTGTTAGCTTCATTCATTAGCTCAGTAAATTAATAGTAAAAATAAGGGGACATTTTATATATAACACTTCACATTATGTTAAGTGCATTCATGTACTGTAGATTTCTGAATAAGCCTGTGAAGTGAGCAGAGAAGAGAGGATTATTCTGATTTTCCATGTGAGAAATCTGATGCCCAGAGAGGTTATACCCCTAGTAAGTGGCAATTCACATTTTCCCATTGCTAGTCTGGGGCTCTTCACAATATTCTGCTTTTCTGAAAGACACTGGGTACAAATTTAGTTTTTAACACTAATTTGGTAAGAAAGATTAAAATAATACATTTATTTTAAGTGACTTATTGATGACTGTCAGATTTATAATTGGCAAATAGAATGAGCTCATTAAAAAAGTGGCAGCTAATTAACTTAAAATACTTATTTGAAGACTAATCCCAGAGAAAATGTAAGTATTTGTGAAGCATGAAGAGTAAAAAACATAGTAAATCCTTCAGAAAAGCCTCAAGTGCCATATTATTTTCGTATATTTATGATAAAAAATTAAACTTCGACATGTATGAAATGTTCAGGAAGTCATGCTTACAAAGTCGAATATAACTAATGAGCAAGATCTGAAAATGTGTACATTATATGATGAAACAATTCTTCATTTCATTGTGTTACTTTAATGAATTCAAACAATTAATGGATTTTTAGCCTTTAATTTACAACTTTAGTTAAGTTTCAATTTAGGGATTAAAAGGGACAAAGATGAATGAACATCAAACTGATGGAGTGAATTCTGTGTTTACAATACTTCAGGAAAGCATATTTTACTATAACTACTTATTTCCCTCCACTGATAATTCAACTATTGGTACTCAAATCACTGTTTTTGCAATATTGATTTTAATGCTTATGGTATACGTACTGTAACATTGAACACTGAAAAAAATATATCCCTCAACTAAAATAATATTACCTACTAAAAAGTGGTAGAAAATAGACAAGTATCAAAAGTTAAGGCTTTGTTGATGCTTTTGGACACGAATCCCATTGATCTCATTCTAAACAGATGATAGAAGACTTGGTTGAGTAATTCAGTTTACTGCTGCAATGGCCAGGACAGATGTATGAGGGGGCTGTGAGACAGGGAGAAATCCAATTAGTCAACTCCTATCTTAATTAAGCAATGAGAATGAGCTAGGGATGTTGGTGTCTGAAGATATGTGGAGTTGACTTTAATGTGGTAGTGTTCCCTTTTCTGATTGCCACAAATACCCAGTTTCCACCCCAAAACTCACCCGTAGATCCTACCAGATGAGAGATATTCGAATATAGTGGAAAGGGGAGTGGCAGACCTGTCTCTGTAGGGTCTTCTCCAAGGGGCCCAATAAAGGAAGTAAATTTATCAACAGGAGGAGGGGGGTCACCAATGCCTGCCCTGCTTTCCCCCAAGTGTCACACTTTTATACCCGTGGTTGAAAGAGAATCACCGGCCTCTGGGCGAGGTGCTGCGCACAGTCAGTAGCCTCCTCGCATGGATGGTGTCACAGTTCCCCCGCGGTGGTTCGTGGAGTAACAGGGGTTCCCTGGCTGCCACCACAAGGCTGTCACATTCCCTCTGCCCTTCCCAGATACGATCCCCGCTTCAACTCCTGGATCCACCTGGCCAGCATGACCCAGAAGCGCACGCACTTCAGCCTGAGCGTGTTCAACGGGCTCCTTTACGCAGTGGGCGGCCGCAACGTAGAGGGCAGCCTGGCCTCCGTGGAGTGCTACGTGCCCTCCACCAACCAGTGGCAGCCGAAGGCGCCCCTGGAGGTGGCAGGCTGCTGCCACG